TACCCCTTTTTTCGGTTTAAGAAGGTCAGGAGGGTGGATGTATCTTGGCACCAACTTTGGGGTGCATTCTTAATCTTATATTTATTCTAACGAAAAAAAAAATTTGGTCGAAATCTGAGTGTACCCCCTGAATAGGTTCCCTTGTTAGCTGGCGAAAATTATGTAGTTTTTTTAAATATGTTTGTAGGTAATCACTGGTAATCAGAAATCCTGTGTACACTCCTGAGCTGAGTGGTCAACCCCTTGGTCAAGACCTTTTCAACGAGTGGTCGGAAGGGGGGTCCAGGAGTCCGACTTCAGCAGTTACGTACATCAGGATCTTGAAAAACGAGGGTCGACCAACCGAAAAAAAATATAGCAGTTTTTGATAGGTATTAAAAGTACGGGATCGCCGGGTAAAAAAGTACGGGATTCCTTGTAAAAAAAAGTACGGTGTTGCCTGTAAAAAAAACGACGGTATTGCCTGTTAAAATAACAGGAAAAGTAGCGATACACATCGGCAACTTTGGCCCGCCCGCACATTAAGAAATGTGCAAATTTCGCCTTTGTTTAACTCCAACGAGATTTGATCCTGCGTCTGAGGTCAAATAAGATGTTATTTTCGCGCACTCAAAAACATCAGAAACAATGCGAAAACTTGAATAAAAGGAATGTTTCAAATATATCCCACTGGGATTTGAACCGGGGTCCAAACTGCTTTGATTCGCTCGAAACCAGCACCGTTAACTTTGTCTCGTCGCCCTGATTACAAAAATACCCCTACATGCCCTTCTAGCTGTATCCGTTGCCGAAATCCTCCTCGACCCCATGTAGACCATGATGCACCTGCAGCAGCGCCCCCGGTGCTCGGATCGGATTTGCTGCCACCGGGCGGTTCTTACGGTCACCCAAAGAGGCTGCATACCAAATTTGGTCAGACGGACCGCGGAAAGTCCTCGGACGGACGGACGCACAGCAAGCATCATACTTGCCCGTCCCTCCGTCATTTTTTTCCAAAAAAATAAATAAACGGGACGGGCCATGAAGTACGGTGAAGTCTGGAGTAATCAGTACAGGATTTACCGTGAACTTTTCTCGCAGTGGGGAGTTCACTGAAATTTCATGCTCTTTCAATCTGTGCAATGCGTTTTACCAACAACGGCCTATTTTGCATAATCTCGCGAAAGACTCCGAAACCTTTGCAGTTTGCGGGGAGCATGGTTTCACGCGTTCCCTAGGCCGTTACTACCCCCTGCTATAGGGCTTATAAAAATAACTTATTGTCAAATTGTGAATGCTGTTTTTCTGGCGCTATCAAAGCTCTATCAGCACAAGGTGCAAGTGAACCGTGCGGAGTAAACAGAATAACGTAAATTATATTGTCAAGTTATCGACAAAGGTACGGATGCCTAACGATCTGTGAACGTCTTTAACAGATCCGTTTAATTTTATGAACAGACTTTTAACTCTTGTCGCCCTTTTTGCAGTACGTCCGTGCGTCGTATTCGTACCTCCAGGCTCTCAGACAGCTGTCGTAGACTTACCTGGTATTGTAGTCGTCTAGAAGTTACTGGCAATAGGCAGCCACAGCTACTTACTTGTCAGCCAAGGCACAGTTATTGCCAGTTTTCGGCAAATTTTGTGTCCTATGCCGAATAAAGAATTGCCATGAATACAAATGTATTCCACCCGCAAAAATTAAAACAGGCCAATACAAAAGCAGACTGAAAATTCAAAAAGTTCATGCTGAGCGCAAGCTGCATTCAAACCAACCGCCAGAAAACACTTTCGGTGAAAACAGAGACAGACTTCTCCGCCTGGCGATGGCGAATTTCAGTCCTCCAGTTTCTATTGCGAATATCACGCGCATTGCAAAATCATCCTTTAAAGTGCACAGGACAATATTTCAAAGGACAATCGTCTATCATTACAAAAAAAGTGCTGTTTATTTGAAACTTTTCACTCAGTGCCTGGGTTCCAGAGACAAAGACAAAGTCAGAAATAAGAACAGCATTTTTTCAGATAAGTAGTCTGAGATCTAAGTCCAATCGAAGCGGTCGTCCGGATTTTCAGATCTTGCGAAACATCTTTTTGTGACGAAAAAAGAAGAGGAGAGTCTCTCCCATAAAGCAGGCAGAGGAGAGCAGCAGTCCCGCCAGAAGCAGCTTCAGGTAGGGCAGCACGGGCATCAGCGACAACGGTCTCGTCGGGTTGGAGGCGACGAGCCGCCGAGTGCCGGCACTGGCGTCCGCGATGCCTTGCATCTTGTCCAACAAAGAAGACTTATTCCAGAAGCGTGACATCACGTTGAAACGAATGTGACAAAATGTCACGTTCCCTTGGGCCTTTTATCCCATCCGTTTGGGACCTAACCAGCCATAAATTAGCTCATTCACATCAAAAAGAATATGACTCTATGCTCAAAGAGACGTGACATTTTATCTCACTCGTTTCAAAATGATGAGAAACAACAAAGGTACAAATGTAAACTGTGAACATAAGTGTATTTTCATTCCAGGAACGTGTCAGCACGCTGAATCGAATGCGACATAATGTCACGTCCCTGTGAAACTTGTGTCACATTTGTTTCGATGTGAATCAGGCATCAATTAATTTATCCTCATTCAAACGAATGAGACACAATGCTTGACGGAACGTGACATTCTGTCACATTTGTTTCAACGTGATATCACGTTCCACGAATGAGGGTGCACAACGGGGATTGTAAAAAGTACAACCAGAATTGAGTGGCCATTGGACAGAACTACGTATATTATTCTCCATGGGTTTCTCATGTCGACGCCTCCTGATAGAAAAGTCCTGACTGTCAGAGTAGATCGAAGAAAATCCGGACTGCCAGAACCGATTTAAGGCAATCCTGACTGTCAGTGTCGATTTAGAGCCATCTTGACTGCACATGAAAAGTGCTCTTTACACAAAGGCCATGACGCCCACATCCTTCATAAAATTACTTGCCGAAGGGCTTGTTAAAAAGTTTCTTCCTTTTATAAATAGGTGCCTATTGTATTTCAGAGATATCGTGATTCCCTGATATTGCACTTCAGATAGTTCGTGAACACTTTTAGGTACCTCTGCATTTAGGGTTGTTCTAAATCCGCACTGACATTTAGGATTGTCTTAGATCTACTGAGACAGATAGAAATATCTTGGATCTTCTCTGGCAGTTAGGTTTGTCTTATAGTTTTGTCTGGTAGTTAGGATTATTCAAACAGAAGGCGTCGAAGTGACTTACGCCCAACGGCCACTCAATTATGAAAAGTGCAACACTCTCACTCTCATCCTTCAATCGATATTTCGTCAATATTTATTGACGTTTGCGCGCATTAATAGAATTTCGTTAAGAGGCCTGATAGATTTGTCAAGACGAGATGGATATTTATGTTTGTAATACACAAATAAAAATGTCAATATTTTTTTCAATGCGCACATACGTCAATACGCATAACTCACTACGAGGCTGAGAGGGAAGGAGGCATTCGGCATTGCACTCGTCACGCATCCGCATCGTTCTTTCAATAACTTTTGTACGCTGAAAGTATAATTCATCCCTGATAAAAAAAATACGATTTCAAGAAATCCTAGGAGTCACGAAGTCAATTTGGGTAAGAGTGTGGGGAAAGCAAAAAAGTTATGTAAAAGGTAGGGGGTGGCTCAAGGGTGGCTGGCTACGAATGGCAGTGGTACCAATGTGGTCGATGTGCCACCCGTCAAAATTTAACCTTGGCAATAAAGAGAAATCAAAATGCCGGGAAATACGAAAAATTCCAATGCTAATATATTCCACAGTGATCATACAAAGGAACATCTTTGAAGTCCATCATTATGAAAATTTTGGTGGCAGAAAGAAGGCAGTAAATTAATTTTCGTGGGTTGGCAACAATTTTGTCGGCGTCTGCGCCCTTGCGAAAATCGCGAAGTTGAAAACACGAGTATAGTCGCGCATTAAAACCGCCCCTCCATTGTTGCTGACGTTGAATTGTTTGGCTTGTTTCAAAAGGCTACGGTTCTCTAGTCATGTTTTCTTCAATTCTGTGTAATAGTTCTCACTCACAACGTAGCAACACCACGACGGTTGGCTTGACAAACTTTATGAACTCGAGAGGGATGGTCTCGAAACGCGGGTGAGTCTTGTTCGAGGAACATGAGCACTGAAAGCCGCGAGGTGGAGCGAAGTGATCATGGTGCTAACTGAATCAGAAGTACCATCAAACCTGGCTAAAAGGAGCAGCTACATGACCAGCTTATTCAAAAAGAGACTAAAAGTCTTAAAGCGACTCTTAAACTATATTAAGGAAACATAATTCACAGATGCATGTGCACAGGTACGCAGTTAAATGGCTCAATTCACTCCGAGTTGAAGAGTAACAAAAATTTTCAACAAAACAACAACAAAAACAACGCAGCGGTGCGGGATTGGTGCGGGACACTCTCATAAAAAGTCACTGGCCGGCTGACCGATCCAAATGGCCACGTTCGAAACGACACCAATTCTATTGTTGCATCTTGTCTACCTGCAGTCAAAGAAATTTTTCATTTCGAACGTGCTATTTCAGCTTTTGGAGTAAGCTGTACAGACCCAAAAAGAAGCTCCGCTATTGGTCCGGCTCGGCTCGGCTCCCCCCACTCCCTTTTTTTTCCTTTGACGAGTCGAGTTTTGCCATAGAAACGGCGATTTTGACAGCAAATTTCTCAAAATTGGCGACCAAATTTTTAACCAGATTTCAGCATTAGAATCAGCGTTCAAAGTTCTACAAGTCTGCAAAATCTCATTAAAATCGTATAGAAAATTTCCGAAATGCATAAAGGGCCACACAAATCGAATCTCGGGCCGGCTGAATCCTGGGTATACTATAAGGCTACTTCGTGCCTAAAAATATTGCCAGGAATTGTTGTGGTCTTTTCTAGCAGTCTAGTTGGACACTTCATTCAAGCATTCAACCAAGTAGGCTTAAAGACGTAATGCAGGAAATCGAGCGTAGGGAACAAAATGTTCCATGCATTTAGATGTGCGGAAGGCACCTATGCCCTCTACAAAGATCTTTACTTTGAGAGTGAGGCCAGACTCGTCGAAGCGCGACATGAGCTCCAACAATGGAACGAGAAGTGGCGACTTCGGTGGCAGCATAACGTTGTAGACGGTCGAAGTGGTCTGGCAGTAGTCCTACCAAACCAGAAAACAGACTTTAATAGTCCTGGGTAGAATCAGCAAGGTCGAAAAAGGTACTGACGAATCTGAAGCCAACCCATAGCTGTGTGTTTGAACCTCAACTTTAAACTTGAACTCCAAACTGAAGCAGAAGAAGGGAATAACTTGAGGTAACTTCAAATTGAGTCTTTATGTTATCGTTGTGCCTTGGAGTACACTGTTCGAAAATTTTTCGCTAATTTACAAAGATTTCACTGGAAATTTTTATAAACGAGAGCTTTGTAAAACGTAGTTGATGAAATATGTCGTAAAGTTCGAAAAATCATCGTAAACATCAATTTACAAGAAACTTTGTAAATCTACAAAACATTCCGTTATATTTGTGATAATTGTAAGTAACATGCACCCTAGCATGCAGCAAATAGTGTTGAGAAAAAATGTTCGCCGGAGACTCTAAACCAGGACTTTCTGGCCCGCCGGCAGCCTAACTGCGACAGCTCTGCAAGGGCATTTGAAGCTCGAAGACCAGCTCGCTTTGGCAATCTCTACGGCATATTTTGTCAATTTCACAACTGTTTCATTTGTCTACAAGATGTTTGCTAAAAATATCACAAATATCGTTTTGTGGCCAATACAAGATTTATAATGTCAAAGTACGGAATAATCTCTAAATTTCAAGATACCTTTTTTAAAGAATATTTTACGAAATGTTTCGTGCTAAAATATTTCGTTAATTAACAAAAATTTCTAGCAGTGTAGTTTACACCAGGACACCAAATTATTTGACTCAATTCCCACCAGTTGAAGAGAAAACCCACGAGGAAAAAGGACTTAGCTTCACCCTTTCAACGGTGTGAATTTCATCGGAAAAAAAGAGCAACTCGACCCAAGTCCACATAAATCCGTTGCACAAAATGGCGAAAGGAGACAGCTCAATTCATATTTTTATGAACCTCATGCATCAAGAGTCAACTAACTCAATCTCCCCTTTTCTTCAGAACTGTAGTTGGAAAAAAATGTCACTGCAAAACTGTATCAGAGCAGCAATAAAGACTCTTCGCAGACCTGAACTCCACTTGAGTTGTCTCCGTTCCACCTCGTTTTGGAGGGTTCCAAAGTGCATTCTAACGCTAAGATTTTAAACACAGAAACCGTCGACAAAGTGGTCTTACATTTCTATTTTCAGATATTACTTATGCCTTTTTTACATATATCTTTTAGAATCCTAGATTGCATTACGCATTTGTACGGTTTTAGTTTTCCCTGCTAACAGATTTTTGTTTGTCTCGAAATAATGATGAAAATTGAGTTATCCCCTTTTCCCGCTTCAAGGATCAACCAAGAAGTAGGTGAGCCATTCACCCGAGTTGTAACCTCTCTCCCTGCGAGTCCCCCTTATCCATGGTCCAAATACCCCTCACTGTGCCAAAAAAGTACGGAAAATTCTGTTCATTTTTTTTGCCAGGATTCTCCGTAGCCCTCTTATCAATATTCTCCGTAGGCTCTTACAGTGTTCTCCGTACGACCGCACAGTCTTCTCCGTAGGACCTGGAAGACTGTATAGTCCTACAGAGAATACTGTTAGAGCCTACGGAGAATATTGATGAGGGGGCTACGGAGAAATTACCACAAGCTGTTAAGGGGGGACCCTGGTGAAACCTTCAAGTAGGCTTCAAAATAATTCCAGAAATTTGAAACTTTGCCTAATTATTAGGTTTATTATGGTGAGTTCCCAAAACAAAATTCAATCCAAAATGTTGAACGGTCTCTGAGAAAAGTGGCTTTTTAGTGTTTTTTAGAGCATTGGGGAAAAACCTCCCTGCATCTTTCATTGGGACGGAAAGTCTTCAAAATTTTTTGGGGTTATCCTAAAGATGTATAGAAGAGATTTTAGTGACGGAATTTTCAAATTAAACTTCTGTCCTGAGATATGAGTTTTCAAATTTTAACATTTAAAAAATGTGATTTTTCCCCCTTTTTTAAGAAACTTTAAGGGGAGGTTCTGGTGAAAATCTTGCCATTTTCCAAATGGATCCTACAGTCATAATTTGTTCGGAATATAAAATTTTTCATTGAGGAGACTAAAATTTGACTTTTGAAGGCACATGCCAGGCTGTTAACCCAGTCGAAGAGTCTTTTTGAGCCTATTTTGGCTGTATCTTAAAAAATCTCCTTGCGCATACTATTTTGTCGTAAAAGGTTGACCTTGAAATTTTTCACTTTCTCGATTCATTTTCAAAAGATTCCGGCATGCAGAGCTCAAAACTTCCATTATATTATTAGTTATTAGCTTTTAAAGCTGAAAAGTCCCTAAAATTTGTCTATTTTGTACATTTTTGATCAATTATAGTGAAATGCTTGGTTAAAAAGCTTGCGAATAAAAATGCAATTGACATTTTGAGATGTGCATGCCGGCATTTTTAAATAAATGAATCGAAGAAGTGAAAAATGTCGAAGCCAACCTTTTACGACAAAATAGTATGCGCAAGAAGATTTTTAAAGTTATAGCCTAAATGGGAGAAAAAGGCTCTGCGACTGGGTTCAGGGCATAGAATGTGCCTCCCCAGTGAAAATTTTTAATAAATACTTGATAAGACATCAAATTTTTAACAAATTTTCACAGTGGGACCTATTTAGGAGAAAATAGCATTTTCACCAGAACCTCCCCTAAAGGTGTTTGCAAAAAAAAAGTAGGGCTGATATCAAGATTCCGTCACTAAAATTTGTCGACAAGTCATCAATGAATAGAGTCCATGCAAGCCGACTCATGTAGGTGTCAACCAGGAACGCAGGAAGTCTGTCTACGACAAAATTTTTTGTCGACTGAGCAAAGCTGTGAAGTTGAGGGTAGAAGCTAACGACAACTGATCTCAATGTTATTTCCTTCCAAAGGATAAAGAAACTACCCACTCAGCTTAAAGGTGTTCAACCCGTTGAATCTGAATTCTTCCATGCACATTTTTATCTATGAACTTTGAAAATACTGTTTTTGACAATTTTGGCGTTTTTTTCACTAGGGCCCCCCCTTTAACAGAATTTTCCGTAGCTTTTTGCCACAGTGCTCCACGAGTGTCCCCAGTCTGCACTGACCGCGAGGGTGTAGAAGTCCCCCTTTGGTTCCCGCCAAAACGCCGCACGCAGCGCGCTCCATTAGGACCCCCGCGTCGTGCTGGTTTTGCACGCGGCCGTACACACCCTTGTACTCGATGCTCTTGAAAGTGCTGGCCTGCGTCATGACGGCGTCCTCGTACGGATTGCGCCACCTGTTTGAAGATATGAGTCAGTTGTGGGCCACACTGAAAAACCAAACGTGGTCTAGACCGCACCAACTGGTGAGGTCAAATGGGTGCCATTTTGACCACATCAGTTGGTGTGGTCTAGACCACGTTTGGTGCGGTCTGGACCACACCAAACGTGGCCAAACGTGGTCTAGACCGCACCAAACGTGGCCAAACGTGGTCTAGACCACACCAACTGATGTGGTCAAAATGGCACCCATCTGACCACACCAGTGGTGCGGTCTGGACCACGTTTGGTTTTTCAGTGCAGGTGCACTGAGAAAAAGCGTCGGTCGTCCCTCGATGGCACTGAAGGCTCCCTAAGTCATCAAATCAGGGGGTGACAGAGTTGTCACGCCCCTGCAGTAAGTACAGGAGCTTTGATGAAAATTTCATCGATTGATGAGGTTGTCACAATTTAATACTAGTTACTAAAATGGCATACACCTTATATATTCATATATACCATCATATCCACATACCTTAGTCATATTCCTTATAGCATATAGTCAGAGTGTGATGGGTGAAACAAACGAGCAGTTCATTTCTCAAATCTGTGGCATACAGGACATGAGCCCCGTCCTGTTTGAGCCCCGATGGTCTGAGCCTCGCCTTGAGCCCCAACCTGACCGAGTTGAGCCCCGCCTCCCACTCTAAATGTCTTACGAAGAAATTTCCCATAATACGAAGGAAATGGCGCAAGCATAATACGAAGGTGGTTTTTCTTCGTATTACGAAGGTTTTTCTTTGTATCTTACAATGAAAAAGGTAAAAAGATTTGTATTTCGAAGGAATATTGCTTCGTATTATGCTTGCACCGAATTCACTGTAACATACGAATAACATAGGTCAAATTTCATTGTAAGACATTTAGAGTGTCGAGCCCCAAAGTCTTGAGCCCCGGTCAGAGCCCGGATAGAGGCCCGATATCTGAGCTTGGTTTGAGCCCGGACTTGAGCCCCGACCCAAGCCCCATTTGAGCACCGCGGTCAAAAATTCATCCAAAAAGACTAAAAATGCACGATTTCTTGCCAAGGGGCTCAAATGGGGCTTAGGTCGGGGCTCACGCCGGGCTCATGTCGGGGCTCTAGATATTGGGGCTCGGGTCGGGGCTCAAGTCCGGGCTCAAATCGGGGCTCTATTCGGGCTCAGGCCGGGGCTCAAGGCGGGGCTCAACTCGGGCTCAGGTTGGGGCTCAAGACGGGGCTCAGACCATCGGGTCTCAAACGAGACGGAGCTCATGTCCTGCACTGTTAAACTAGGCGTACGCGCCGTTTTGTTTGGGCGCGTAGTAGGCGAGCGATGCGTCTGTATTCTTGTAGAAGATGGTGAAGAATATATGCAAAGTAAGGCCAATACAGGGTCTTCGGTAATGAAAGGGCCGGAATTAATGTCATTTTCGTGATTATCTTACTGAAAACTGCAGGAAACAATGTGAAACTCAATTTTAAAATTTTGGTCACAAATTGGTAAATTTTGGGGAAAGTAAAGGTCTGGTATGAAATTGGAAGTCATTTTCGTGATCAGCACACCAAAAACTGCAGGAAACTATGTAAAACTCAATGTAAAAATTTTGGTCCGAAATTGGTAAATATTTGGAAAAGTAAAGGTCTGGGATGAAATTGGAAGTCATTTTCGTGATCAGCACACCAAAAACTGCAGGAAACTATGTAAAACTCGATGTAAAAATTTTGGTCCGAAATTGGTAAATATTTGGAAAAGTAAAGGTCTGAGATGAAATTGGAAGTCATTTTCGTGATCAGCACACCAAAAACTGCAGGAAACTATGTAAAACTCGATGTAAAAATTTTGGTCCAAAATTGGTAAATATTTGGAAAAGTAAAGGTCTCAGATGAAATTGGAAGTCATTTTTGTGATCAGCACACCAAATACTGCAGGAAGCAATGAAACACCGAGGAAATTTTGGTTCTAAATCATGTAATTCTAGTTGAAAGTATGGGTCTTAAGTTGTTGGGTTTTTTAAGAGTGTGTCTTGTTCATGGTGTCATGCCATGAACCCTGACCCTATTACTCAGTCGAGTAACATTTAACAGCCAGCATTGAATTGCTTAATACGATTCACAAATACTTCAATTACCATTCGATATCTCCTTTTTACTGAACTTATGAATACGCAATGTTATTAGTAATACCTAAAAAGCCTTTCTCCTTTTTAGTTTAAACTAGTGGATTAAACTATATTGATTTATCTGCATTAATTAAAAAGAGACATATTTACAGGCAGGCTGATTGCAACTACTTTACGGAGAAGACCTTCTGTCAGATCCAATGAATCGTTTCATAGAATCCAATGTCGAGGCCACTTATTGCTAAACGCAAGTTTATCTTATTCATAATGATAGTCATGATGTGTTATTTAATCTTTGAAACAGTTTAGCAAAAGTATTTACCTAACATTCTGAGTAAATTAAAAAGAGAGCCAACTCAAACCATGACCAACACAAATTACTAGTTGTCGCAGACAATGTATGATTAAGTTAAAAGAATCGTCTCATGAAATCATATGACCAAGTCAGTGAATCGTCTCATTGAATCTGATGTCAATGTCAAACCTTGAATGCGCTACACTCACTCATCATATGGTTTTCTTTAAGGTTAGTACTATAGTAAACTCACAGCATTGCAATGAAGCCTTTTCCCAGAAGTGCCAAGAGTCAGCAAAGACTATTTATTTTGGTAAGATTAGTATCCGGTTTGTACTTATAGAATGTATTAATATATTTTCTAACTGTTATTGAGCAAAGCAAACAACTAAAAAATATAGTGTCTGAGAATATAAATGGAAATACACTCACAAAGGTTAAAAAGACCAAAACATTCTTGCAATTATCACACACACTCCACTGACTAAAACATTTGCCAAGTCGCGGTGTAGCGGGGGAGGGGAGGGGGCGGACGGACGGACGAAACGCGTAATAATTGTCACTTTCATTTTCCGTATTTCACTCAGTTGACACTCCGGAGGGGTTTCAATCATTCTTAAATATCGAAAAACTATGACCGTACTCACTTCTAAGCCCTTCTGCTCTTTAGTTTGTTTTATTTGCCAATGTTTTGATAGGTCCCGTATTTGAGAGTCGCGGCCGCAAGTATGAAAAATTGCTACGAGCTGTCAAGCACTGCCAACCTAACCACGCTAAGAACCTAATTCAAAAAGATGTTTTGAATATTTCAAACAATAGTAATCGTGAATATAAGATAAACTCCCCCTGGGGGAGATTTAGGAGCCTTCCGGTGCGAAATTTTGAAACTATTTGTGCGGTAGTTGCTGAGAAACGTGAGTGAGTTACGGACACACAGACAGACAGACAGACGCACGACCAGTCACTTTTTGGTGCCCCCAAACACGGCATGGGCTCGCTATCGCTCGCCAAAAATGGTTGTACAGAAACAATCAGATGAGTGATAATTTAGTCGTTCTAAAACATAGAATTTCATCATGAACCAAAGCGAAACAAATGTCGTTGAGTCTAGTAAGCAACATTTTGTCGTTGAAGAAGAAAATTCTTCTTATCCCTCTTTACGATACAATTTGTGTGGAAACAAAATCTTTTGCAATTATCTGCTCAATTAAAGCATATTATGAATAATCATCTATTTTGTTGTTCTAAGTCATATGGAAATTACTATTGTTAAAAAAACCATGCAAGATAAATTAAGCGACAAAAGTACTCTATGAATTTTGTCGCAGACATAGCAAAATTTCTTTTGGACTTTCAATACTTGTCGTAGATGTATTATTGTTGGTGCGTTATTACAAGTTAGTCTTTGTGAAATTATCTCTTAGTTCCAATACGACTACGGTTTAACAAGCTATTCGTTCCACAACAAATCTTGTCGCTAAAAAAGTTAGCGATAAATGTGTCGCTAAGTTACAACAAAATTTTTATCAGTGTGTATGCCAAATCTGTTAACACGACGGAATTCCAGGGAATATACATTAGGGTACTCCAATGAAGCTTGTAACGGAAGAAAAACAAAAGCCCTAAAAACAGCGAATGCGCAGACGTTCCCCCACCAACCGTTTGTATAAATTTGCGCTAAGCTGTTTTTAGAGCTTTCAGATTCATTGGCTTTTAGATTCATTGGAGCCTACGTATGATATAAATCAAATTCCACATAGGGCCTATGCCAAAAATCGTGCCAGATACGCGTCCAATAGTGTGAAGAGCGCAAAGAAGACTAAACAGGAAGCGGAGTGCACTGTTAAAAAACCACTGTAGGATAACAACTCAACCACGTACAGGGGCGTTTTCGAAGTACAACATAAATGTTTTGCATCATTACAGAAAAGTCATCAATAGACAACACTTTTGTTTCTTTACAACTTTCTTGTCCAAAAACAAAAGTTTGATTGTTATTTCAAACAGGAAAGTTGTCGTTCAACGGTTTGTGCTGTAAGAAAACAATAATGTGCAATCACACAACAAGTATTGTAATCAGGATACAGGAATCTTGTTAAACAAGGTAGGTTTACGCCAGACAGCGTCTTGTCGTAACAGGCTTCGCGATGTCTCGCGGCCTGTTTCTCCAATCCGCGCCTGGCGTACCTACCTTGGCCTGCGGCGCTAGCCTGCCTTCGGCAGACAATGCTTGTCCATCATCAGTTACTTCAGAACTGTTGCATGCTGGGGGGCCTCAGACCCCCTTCATTCTAGATAGAGGTGCTTCATCTCCAAATTACACGATCTTGACCCTTGTAACTTTTCAACTTGTCGTGGCTGGGGGGCTCCGCCCCCAGACCCCCCTTTCATCCAGACAGGAGAGGTCTACCGACAGAAAACTCGATTTTTCGCCGTTTTTTAGGTGTTTTTCGGCTATAAAAACTGAACCACTTGAGCTAGGATGGTGAAATTTCGCGTGTGCCGAGCCAAGAACATACCTAATAACCCTGCGAAATCTCAGCCAGATCGGCTGAGCCGTTCAGGAGGAGTAGTGTACACACACAGACAGACAGACACACAGACAGACAGACAGACAAAACTTTTCAACCGCACTGGAGTAACAGGCTTCGCTATCGCTCAGCCAATTACAACACAATTTGTACAACGCAAATTAGGAAAGATTTAATTGAAGAATTGACAACAACCTTGTCGCTCAACAATGAAATCATCAGAAAACAGCAACGAGAATTACAACTTGTTTGTCATGGCACAACACGTGTTGCTATCAAACTTTACAACATATTTGCTGTAATATTACAGCAACATTTTTAACAGTGTGGAACGCAGCTAACGAATCGGGTTCAAGAGAGATATGTGCGAACTTTTCTGTTTCTTTCCTTTGCCAAAAAGTGATTGAATCAGTCTTAATTGCTTTTCTGAGTGACGCTTCAGATAACTCGAACGGTTGTGACAGATCAATTTACCGGCACCATTTCTGGTTTTGTCATTCTACTCGTTCTCCACTCACCGGCAAATAGAATGGTGTTCATTGTAAATGTCTTATGAAGAATTTTTCATAATACGAGAATGGCTCAACCATAAAAAGAAGGTAGTTAGTCTTCGTATCTTACAATCACGGCAAAAACGGAACCTGGTTTTCCCAGGAATACTAAGTAGGAGTAAGAAACAGTGCGTCGTATTACCTAGGCTGACGCGAATTCGCTGTGATACAGCTGAAATGCACTCAAATGAGTGGTCAATCATCGAACAGAACAACACGTTTTCATTAAATTTTCCATGTGACTTACGCCCTCACGACCAACGGCCACCGAAATGTCATTACAATAATGTAGAGTGTACCCACTTACTTGGACGCGGTTAGCCAGAACGTCTCGTGCTTGACATCGCTCAGAAAGAGGGGCAGCTCTGCCTCGGCCAGTTCGCGCAGGTTGCTCAGACGGCTCTTGAACGCGTCCGCCGACATGTGGCTGTGCATGCGGCCCGTGTACGCCGTAGTGATGACCAAGCCGAAGTAGCCCCACAGGCTGGGTAGGAATATAGGAAAACGTCTTACTCATCTGTTAGTCACGCAGTTGTGTGTGTGTGTGTTCACTGAAGTTCAAACGGTGAGACGTCTGACGAAGTTCAGACCATGATAAGTATGACCAAAAAAGGTCAGACATCATCAAAACTGGCTCTCCTTTAGCTTGGTGATATATCAACCTTTAACAGTGATACAAAAAACTGACCCTTTTTCGGTCACACGACATTTTAGGATGACGTTTTTTGGTCATACGTTTCAGTATCACCCCAGTCAAAAGTCTTACATTTCTACTTTCAGTGCACTTCCAAACTATGCATTTCATGCAGATATGCAATTATAAGTATGTGTCCTGATTTAGCATGCTACTGTCCGTGACCACTTGCAAGCGCTTGCTTCATGTTATTGTACAATATTTGTACGAGACATCACAATTTTTTGTGCACACAAACTTTCCGTACGAACTTACAAATTTGTACTCTATTTTGAACAAAAATGTATAAATATACGCTGTCTTTCGTACAAAACTTGTACGGTAAGTTCGAAAGTTCGTGCGCCCAAATACCTGTGATGTCTCGTACAAAATTGTACATGACATTTAGTGTGTGTGCACAGCGAAGCGAGAACTAAGTAGACAGGTAGGTTAACAGTGTTGTTGAATGGTATGACCAAAAGTTCTACCCGAACAAAAACCGCACTGCTGATCTTTCAGGTTGATTGGGAGACGAGCTGACGAAAGCCTGCAGTGTGAAGAGTGCCATGTCTCCGCATTTGTTGAGAGATCTTGGCTTCTCGGTACCGAAGAACACGTGGGACAGCTGAAAAACGTAAGAGCAGATATCGAGTCGGTCATTCACAACTGAAAAACTGAGGGCACACCGCAAATCCAAGTGTGGGACAGGCATGCACTAAATAACGTGGGACCCGGTTTGTCCCAGCGATGCGGCTTCTGTTCCATGCTCGAAATCGAAAGCCAAATGAATCGGTGTTGGATTACATTACCGCCTTGTAAGGGCTGGCCACGAAATGTAATTTTGGGTGATAGTTGGGGGATGCTTTGAGGGACAGGTTGGTGTGTGGCATAAATTATGACGACACTAAATAGAAACTTTTGTCTACTCGAGATCTGACCAGTGTTTTAACTGAAATTAAATGAATCGCCTTGAGTTAAAGACTGTTAACAGTCCTCTTGAAATTATTGGCGAATTTTTAGTAGTAGTTCAAGTGGCGGTGCTGGCTCCTCACACTCTCAAGTTAACTGTTGTTAATGGTACTATAGAGTTCTTGTTGATGGGCCGCGACTGGCTTGATGTCTTAAATCCCAAATGACAGGATAATTTTAGTGTACTCTCAGGGACTTCTAGTTCAGCCAATTCTGTTGAATTTGTGTTGCCTATGCTTGCCAAATCCTATCCAAGTGTATCCTCTAACAATTCTCAATCATGTATTAAAGATTTTGTTGCGGACATTACCTTAAAGGATAATGTTGTACCTGAGTTTCTACGTCCTTATGCAGTACCTTGTGCTATGATTAGTTTTAGAGGCTATGATTGCTTCAAAGGAAGTTCAACGAACTTTCAAAATGGTTTTCTCCTTGTTTCCCTTTTTTCAGAACGGATGGTAGCATAGGGCTTGTTACTGATTATAAGCGTACTGTAAATAAGTGTATCAAAACAATGTTTACCCGATTCCGAACCCTAAGGAAATCTTTGCTAGCCTTGCGGGTTGAACGATTTTTTGTGTTCTTAATCTTGTTGATGCGTACACGCAACTAAAGCTTGAAAAAATTTTGCAAGAGATTCATACAATGCACACTCAAAAAGGAGTGTTTTGGTTCTGTGTCTGAAGTGTTCAAACGTCTTGAACGTTACGCTGCACACTGTTAAAAAAAGTGCTGTAAAGTAACATCACTTATGCTGTTAAGTTTGATAGCAGCACGACTTGTTTTATTACAACCATGTTGTAGCCCTGTTTTCTGACAGTTCGATTGTAATAAAACAATACTTCTTTGAAGTCTTCGACGATGTCTTCCCAACATTTTCGTTGATTTCATCGTGCTGTTATTAAACAACACCCTTGTAACCTGACAACAATATATGTTTTCAGATTGCAAAAGGCTGTTTCTAAACATGAAACCTGTTCAACGACAACACAACTATTTTGAATCACGATTACATTGTTGTTACTTGACAAGGAAATTGTTATGAAACGAAAGTGCTGTTTCTGGAAGGGTTTCCCGTTCAGACACAAAACAATACTGTTGTTATTTAACAGCATTACTGTAGGTGATTGTGTTGTAATATTACAGTGGATTTTAAACAGTTTATCAGTGTTTTTAAGCCCTCTTGGTTTTGTCCTTGTGAACCGTATCTTGGCTATGTCGTTTCTGCTGATTTTTTTTTTTATCGTCTAAATTTGGGTGAGAATCATTATACCGCCCAAATTTGGGCGAGAATACAATCATCACATAAATTTAAATGATTAAGTAAACCGCGCCCAAATTTGGGTGTCGATCACACTGACAAAAATTTTGTCGTAACTTAGCGACACATTTATCGCTAATTTTTTTAGCAACAAGATTTGTTGTGGAACGAATAGCTTGTTAAACCAAACTCGTACTGGAACTAAAGGATAATTTCACAACGACTAACTTGTAATAACACATTAGCAGTCTACTTTCAAATACAAGTCGTTGACCAACAACAAATGTTGTTGGTCAACGACAAGTCTTGTAAGTCGAAAAAGATTTTGTAATGTCTGGGACAAGTATTCATGGAGTACTTTTGTCGCTAAATTTATTTTGCCTCATTCTTTTTTAAATAATAGTAATGTTGCTATGACTAAAGAAGACCAATAGATGATTATTCATAATATGCTTTAATTGAGCAGATAATTGCAAAAGATTTTGTTTCCATACAAATAGTATCGTTAAGGGTGATAACAAGAATTTTGTTCTTCAACGACAAATTGTCGCTTACAAGATTCAACGACATTTCTTTCGCTTTGGTTCATGATAAAATTCTTTGATTTGGAACGACTAAATTTTCACTCATCTGATTGTTTCTATACAACCATTTTTTAACAGTGCAAGACTTTCATTCTCAATGTACCCCCGCAAATTTACGAGATTTATTTCTTGGGGTGCAAAGTTAACTCGAGTGCCGTACCTGGAGAGTTAAGGACGCGAGAACGAAGGCCGCGAGGATGGACGCCCACACTGCCTTGTCGAGGTACTTCAAGACCTTCGAGAGCGAGTTATCGTTCTTCTTGACGCCGCGGGGCAAGCACCAAGTGAAACAGGCCTGCTGGTTCGTCGGTGGTCTGAGCACGTACCTGCGACACATAATGTGTTGATAGTGAAGTGCCACACTGTTAAAAAAAGGGGCTGTAATGTAGCAAGAAATAGACTATTTTGCTGGATCCACTTCGATCCCTCGAAAAAACAAATGCATCAAAAGTCGGGTCGGGTCGGCCAATCAGGAGCCTCCTTACATCAGTGAAAGCGCCTACCCTTGATGAAACGAGGCACCTGATTGGCCGACGCGACCCCACTTCCGGTGCAGTTGTTTTTCGAGGGATCAAAGAGGATCCAGCGAAATAGTCTATTCGTCGCAAATGTTTTTAGAAGGTTGCAGTCGTTCACTGATGACTCCGGTTCAGGATATTTGTGGACCAGTAGCAATTCTTACGGGCATCTTGGATTGCCGCTGAAGTCCAAGCTCTAGTAAACGCCCGGTGAATCGATAAGTTTTCTTCTGTAACGTTGACCGGGTTGTTTATTTACAGTAAAATGATGTGCAGCCCAGGTCACTACACTGTTTAAAAAAAGGTGCTGTAAATTAACAACACTTATGCTGTTAAGTTTGATAGCAACACGACTTGTTTTATTACAAGCATGTTGTAGCCCTCGGAGCTGTTTTCTGACAGTTCGATTGTAATAAAACAATACTTCTTTGGAGTCTTCGATGATGTCTTCGGAACATTTGTGTTGATTTCATCGTGCTGTTATTAAACAAGACCCTTGTAGGCCCTAACCAGACAACAGTATATGTTTTAAGATTGCGTTAAGTCTGTTTCTAAACATGAAACCTGTTCAACAACAACACAACTGTTTAGAATCACGATTACGTTACACTGCAGGAAATAACCACAACAAAAGTACACAAGTACACAAATATCTGGCAAATTTTTTATCAGGAATTTAGTGTACTTTTCAATTACAACAATTGTTGTACAAAGTACAATGGAACCGGCATGACGAATGCTGTGCAGTCCAGGGCTCGTTGTGGTTTGTACAATTCGAGGGGTCCTATTCAAAAGATCTTATCTGCGCGTTCCCCCCAAGACAATCTTATCTTAAACGCATGCGGATTTCACCCAGTTTGACCAGATTTTCAAATCGAGATTTATATTGATTCCTGCAGTTTTTGGTGTGCTAAACTCAAAAATGGCCTCCAAAGTTTTCCCAGACTCACGCTTCACCTAATTTTGACCAAATTTGGACCAAAATTTTTGAATTGAGTTTGATGTTGATTCCAACAGTTTTTTGTGTTCTGATAACGAAAATCACCTCCATTTCGACTCCAGACTTCTATTTTCATCCCGAATTAGGTCGTTTTGGACCAAAATTTTCAAATCGAGTTTTATATTGTTTCCTGCAGTTTTTGGTGTGCTGAACTCAAAAATCACCTCCAAATTTTTCCCAGACTCACGCATTACCGAATTTTGATCAATTTTGGACCAAAATTTCGGAATCGAGTTTGACGTTGATCCCTGTCAGGGATAGACACAAGGCAACATAGGAAAAGAGGAAATGCTGATCTTGCAGACGCGCTCGCGGCGTCCGGCTTGGCCGCGAGTCGTCAGTCGTAGGCTGAGCCTCAGAGCGGCAGCACCTTTCGGACCTAGCTTGGTGAGTGGGAGGTTATCCAACCCTTAAACACTGTGTCCTCATTGCCGTACGAACCCCGCTCCATGCCGTTCAGGAACACCACGACTAGCTCCCCTGACATGGTGGAGGTGCTGGTGCCAAAATTTCAATAATTTTGGTTGTGAGCCCGTACTTAGGAGTGTTGTGCGTGGTCTCGGAATGTGTTTCTGCTGCGGTGGGGGTGTAGACTTGACTGTGATAGTGCAGATCGAGATTTCATGCATCATCCCGTAGAAATTCGCTTCCGGTTCCCCATTTTGGGGTTTGCGGTCAGCGACCGTTTTAGTAGCTGTCTGAGGAGCGAAAGTGCCCTCGAAGTGCCACAAACTCGATTTCTCAGATTTAGTCTAGATAGTAAGCTAAGTTTTGCGGTCGATTTTGTTGGGCCGAAGGATGGTTTCAATGGTTGTTTAGGCAAAAGACGCACAGTAAAAAAAGATTCGCCGATTCGGTGACGTCTGGGCGCCAAAACGAGAATATTACAAGAACAGCAACACCCTCAAACTGTTCTGGCGGCCCTCTGTTCGTTTCGGCGACGCTCGGTCCGTTCCGGAGCGGCCACCTCACCAGAACGGCACTGCAGTCACCCTCCCGCCAGCGACTTTTAATCGTCGTATTAATGTGAAATAGGACACAAAACAAGTCAGGGGCTGTCAGTAATCATTCGCGTGACTCATCAAAGCGTAACGTTGCCGGCGGGCACGCACAAATATGCACAAACAGCTCAAAAACAGTTGTTGTGGTCATCCTAACCTCTCTGGCGGAACACCACCTGGTGACGCAGGTCACCGTTTTGGTGACAGACCGTCGCCGGGTTTGTAGGGGTACCCGTTTCGGTGAGATTGGATATAGAACGACCACCAAAACAGCGAATCTTTTTTTACAGTGCGCGCAGAGTGACTGAACGGCTTTCCGGAGGAGCATGGCAGAGTGCGGGAGGACTCGTGTTCTGGGGGGAGGAGACCCTCCCACAAGCCTTGCTGGCTCTGTGGGTGTTGTCCGCGGGGGCAAATGTCTTCGTCTCGCGGAAAAAGTTTTCGGACTTGTGTTTTGTGGCTTGAAATTTGTGTTGTGAGACCGCGTGTTCTGCGCCTCGTTCCACGTGGCCAGCGCTGTGGACGCCCGACATCATGCGCCACGCCGCGCCACGCCGAGCCGCGAGTCTCGCCGCCGCCTCGACACTGGACACCCCTGCGTCAGCAATCGCCTGGACGGGGCACTGCCACCTCCGCTGCCACGGCTGCCGCAGCAACAACAAGACGGCACGGCGATACCCCAGCCTCCGGCGATACTCCTTGCTCGACACACGTGAGTTCGTCAGCTGGCTGTCGCTGTCAAGCAGCGGGGCAAGCGCTCGCCCGCCCAGTCCGTCAGCAGTGCCTGCCTCACACCATCAGGCACGCTGCGATCCAGTCATCTCGATTTTCCCATCGCATCGAGTCTGCCGACCTGAACGATCGATGGTCGAGTGCACAGAGAGTGCAAAGCGAACGTCAACTTCCATCAGCCGACGTGCTTTTCCGAGGACGCAGAAAGCATGGCGGCACTCCTGAATTGAGTAGGGAGTGCCAAAGTGCGAGAAGCCATCACTGCCATCACGAGTGCACAGCGTCCCGGAAGACGGACTCCAACGTGGGAAAAACATCTTCCTGCAGCCATCATGAGTGCACAGCGTCACGGAAGACGCACTCCATCGCGGGAACAACATCTACCTGCGGTTGAGGACGTGACCGGCTTCGAGATCAACAACATCGAAACAGCCCAGAACATCTAAAATATCTTGTTTTGATTCATAACTTTTGATCTATTATTTCGATTTTTATTGAACTTTCGCGGCAACATGATTGATTTTGGAACTTTAGAAATATTTAGGCCTGTTGGGTTGACATGAAATGAAAAGAAAATTTTACAGAACTTTGAAGTAAACAATACTTCTTGCTTGCCAAGCTATAAATGATCTAAATTATTTTTGTTTTCTTTTTAATTTTTTTTGTTTAATTTTGATAAGCATTTTGCCTTTTCCTATATATACTAGCGTATTTTTTTTTAGGAAAGTTAAGTTAGGTAACATATTTTTACACCGTTAGTTATAGTTCGACTAGGCTCTAATCTAAGGTTAAGTAAAGTGCCTTAATAAGCGAGGACGCTTATTTTCCAAAAGGGGGGGCATGTCAGGGATAGACACAAGGCAACATAGGAAAAGAGGAAATGCTGATCTTGCAGACGCGCTCGCGGCGTCCGGCTTGGCCGCGAGTCGTCAGTCGTAGGCTGAGCCTCAGAGCGGCAGCACCTTTCGGACCTAGCTTGGTGAGTGGGAGGTTATCCAACCCTTAAACACTGTGTCCTCATTGCCGTACGAACCCCGCTCCATGCCGTTCAGGAACACCACGACTAGCTCCCCTGACAATCCCAACATTTTTTTTGTGTGCTGATAACGAAAATCACTTCCAGTTATACCTCACACCTACATTCCACTCAATATGAGCCCACAAACTGCGCTTTTCGTCTACTTAAGCAAAGTCCGAAGTGCACAAACTCGTATCGCTCAGCCACACTACGCGCCCAAACTAAACGGCGCGTACCCCTAGTTTTATTTGATGACTCTTCTTAAGTTCCTAGCTGGCAGGCTAAATGGGACTCCAAATGAACTTGTGACCCCACCAATGGATTGCTGTCCGAACGAGGAATACATTGATGGCGTCACACGTTCGGTTCGAGGCCTGTTTAGAGACTCTGGAGCTCAAAACGCGTCTAAAGTGTTGGCTTCCTCCACTGGTCACTACTATGCACCGCCAGCCCTGACGTACCGGCCGTTGACGGCTGTGGAATACACAATGCCGATGTCGCTGCGGTTGTAGTACACGTCACCCACGACGCCGGCGGGGGACGTTTCGGTGAGTTCCTCTGCAGGGTGCAGCTCGCCGAAGGAGGGTCGAAGGCGTGGCTGAAAATTGAGCGCACTGGCAAGCGTCTCGTACAGTGGCTTGAGAGTGCCTTCGAACGCATACCTGTAACGACACGTACTTCAACTTCACTGTCATAGTACAACGAATGTGACGCCATATTCGTCAGAATGTGAATTTCGTCACGTTCGTTTGAATTCCGCATTTGTATGTTGATCCACGTTTCAACAATGTTGTCATAACTAGGGATGTGCGAATCAAGGATTTTCATTTCGAATCGAATCTTTCAAAAAAGGTTTCGAATCGAATCGAATCTGGAAAAATTTGTCGAATCGAATCGAACTTAGAAAGATTCGGAATCGAATCGAATTCGAACTGAAACTAGAAAAAATTAGTGCGTTTCAATACACAAAACACATGTAATAAAGGAAGGGCGTACAGTATGAATATAAAAAGAAGAAAAATTAAATACCTGATCTTGCTTTTGTATAAAAACTACGCTGTGCGCGCGACTTTCAACCGTTCCCGCGCTACGGATTCGAAGACGAACCACTGTCGATTCGAAATTTCGAATATTCGGGGTCGAAGCAAAGAGATCCGTCCCCGAATCGAATCAGCCCTGATTCGATTCGATACCGAACTATTCGCACATCCCTAGTCATAACCTACTTGAACCTGCGATTCAAAATTAACATTCTGACGAGAACAGTCACCTGTGGTTAGAGATGTGCCAATCAGGTTTCCCCCCTTCGAATCGAATCGTGTAAAAACAGGGCTGTAGCTGCCCGCAGGGCCGGACTGGCTCATAAAGGGCCCCGGCAGAAAATTGTCATAGGGGCCCCTGCTCCCCCCCCCCCCCCCCCCCCCCCCCCCGTCCACGACAACTATGTGATTTTCCCTGACTTTTGAAATCGTAGAAATGATATAATTACCCAGGGATTGTTTCTGATGCTTGCAGCAAAAACATTAGCAGCGGAAACTGCGAGCGAAGCGAGCTTCAAATTTTTTCTAATGCAATTTAAATTTTCTTCTGAAAAACGGGAACATGCAATAATCTTCAGTAAGCTGGTTCACAGCAAACTAAAACATTGTTGCAAGTTTTTCAGGAACTGACCTGGACCTGCTAGGAACTCATCGAGCTGATGATAGACTTGTTTCACGCGATTCCGCATTACTATGCGAGCGAAGCGAGCAAAAGTTAAGGCCTATTGTGTGTTCAAATGCAATACCTGCCATTTGTAAGGGGCAGTACTACGAATTAGGGTCATACCTGTTGAACGCACTTCAAAATTAAATTTGACGGACGACCGGGTTAGAGATTTGCCAATTCTGGTTTCCCCTCCTTAGAATCGAATCTGTAAGCTGTAGTGGCCCAGGGCAAGGACTGGCATCATAAAGGTGCCCCGGCAACGTTAAAATTGTCATAAGGGCCCATACTGCTCAATCTCGTCGCAGACAAATAGTGATTCTCCCGATAGTGTCGTAAAAATGATAAATTCCGGGTTTTTCTGATGTTTGCAGCAAAAACATTACACAAACTCTAAACAGTTACAAATTTTTAATCAATTTTTATAATTTTCTTCTTGAAAACTAATTGCAGTATAAATGCTTCAGTAGTGCGTTCACAGAAACTAAAACATTGAGTTGCACAGATTTTTCAGGAACTGACCATATGGACATCTAGGAACCAAATGTAACTGATGACTAATCTCTGTATTCAAGTCGATTTCCCTTAAGCGAAAGAAGCAGTCAATAAAGTTAACACTAGATGTGTTCAAAATGCTATCCGCTGCATCAATTTGTTTTTAGAAGGGCTGTTTACTACGAACCCTTAAAGGTATTTCGGGTCGATTCTGTGGCCCAGCGGCCACAGAGGCCTCGCAACTGTAAGTTGGGGGGCCCCGGCACGCCGGGGCCCCGGCATATTTTTCTGCCCAAATGCCCTGGCCAGTCCGGGCCTAGCCCGGGTGAAGGAGGGTGGCAAGGAATCTGGAAGTGGTGGCCAGGTGCAAGCAATGTAGACACAGAAATGCACGAGAATACCTTTTAAAAAAGTGTAAATAACCCAAATAACTGCAAATTTTCTCAGCTCGCAGACAAATACTGACCACCCTAGTAAGTCGTAAGAACCGCAAATTTTCTCTCTTTCCGCGTGAGCTCTGTTTGCTCGCAAATTACGCGTTTACCACTCTAGGAAGTCATAAGAACCGCAAATTTTCTCAGCTCGTTTATAATATGCTTTGAGTAATAATCAAGCACTTCAGTTCGCAGCAAATGTCCTTGTACGCCTTCTGAATGTATGCCTCACATCAGAACAAACGAAAATTATTGCTGAGCGAAGCGAAGCACCCTGTTTGGGATTTTGAATAGCTCATTTGTCCGCCCCCCCCCGATACCTTTAGTTTACAAGAGGTATCTTCCTCTGTTTATTTTTACTATATTCATATGCGTATACATAGTCCAAGCTCTATAGTCCAAGCTCTATAGTCCAAGCTCTATAGTCCAAGCTCAATAGTCCAAACTCTAAGGTTAAGTTAGGTTAGGTTGGGATAGGTTAGGTTTCAGTTTGAGAATAAGATCTGTCGCGAGTAGGGTAAGATTTGTCGCGAGTAGAGTAAGATCTGTCACGAGCCCGTTAGGTTTGGTTAGGATTGGTTGGACCATTTAGTTTGAGAATATGATCTGTCGAGAGTAGGGAAAGATTTGTCACGAGTAGAGTAAGATCTGTCACGAGCCCGTTAGGTTTGGTTAGGATTGGTTGGACCATTTAGTTTGAGAATATGATCTGTCGAGAGTAGGGAAAGATCTGTCAAGAGTAGAGTAAGATCTGTCACGAGCCCGTTAGGTTAGGTTAGGATTGGTTGGACAATTTAGTTTTAGATCATTAAATACCCTTCCTTCGATTTAAGGAGAAACCAACCATTGTCGAATCACAATCCTTCGTGCAAATGCATACTTCCTGGCTATCACCCCCCAAAAAGAAAAGAGACCCAGTTTCAAAATAAACACATCCAAATTTACTACTGATGAAAATGCATTTCCATCTCCAGCAGAATCCAGCTCAGCATCAAGGCCGAAGGCCTTCCCCTGGCTAGTTATTGGACACTCCACCACTTCTCGCGTTTTCAAAATCACGCCTTGTGGCTGGGGCGAAGGCCACCTTGACCCTGCCGGTATATTTAATCCCCGCTGGAACGGGGGCCCCTGGGTGTCAACCTGCAATGTGTGGCAAAAAAAGAGAATGGGTTATGGGCCGGGGGCTGGGGCAAGGGCGGGAGAACGACCACCGGTTACAAAGTGGCTTATCAGCAATGTCCGGCCGCCTCCGCTACCATCGCGGAAGGGCTTGTGTCCTGGCGGGTCCGGGGGTGGCGGCAGCTCTCCGGGGGTTCCACGCAGCCCGGGGGCGGCGTCGTCGAAGACAGGGGGTGGCAACGGCCTAGGGAGAGCACTGTTAAAAAAGTTCTGAATTTTCAAAGCAATTTTGATGACAATTTTACGAATACGGATATGAATTTTACAAACATTGCAATTTTCATAACTTGATGCGAAAATTCGAAACAATTTCGTAAAATTGACAATTGTTGGTAATTTTAAAACCATGTTCTGAAAATTGCGAATCTTAAATGTTGATTTTGAGCACACAATAGTAATTTTCCGAATCCGATTGTAAATTTCATAACTAGCTCAAGAGGCGTGGCCAAGGGGCGCTGGTAGAGTCATCAGTAGCTGACCCTCCGCTTCCCGTGGGACGTGGTAGCACAGCGGTAAAGAGCGTGCACCACAAGTCAAAGATCCCGGGTTCGAAACCTGAAGGTGACTTTACGTTTGCTTTTCAAGTATTGCCTGATAGCACATGAAGCGTCAATGATTATTTAATTTTTTATTTTTCAAAAAATCTGAGTATAATGCTACTTGACCATTCTGCTCCGTGCCGCTCAGCACGGCCTGACGACGCTCTTTTGTTTCTCCCATTCTGACGCTGACTTCCAGTCTAGGTTTTCTACGAAGTACCAAGAAACACACCACCTTCGCACTATGCTTGCGCTATTTCGTTGGAGTGAAGACAGCAGGCGGTATGCAAGAAGTCTCGCGCAACAGAATGTTTTCTCTCAGTAACGCACCCCTGCCTTACGAATACAAACGCTATGATGGTGGCGCATAACGAGCAAGCCAAAATGTAGTCGTTACCCCGTATTTTCTAGGTGATAAGCCTATTTTTTTCCAAGCCTTATTGGCATAAAGGTACACTGTTAGAAGAGGGTTCGACTTTCGAACCTACCTTGGCTCGAAATACGACCTAAGTAGGATCAAACCCATCTCGGTTCGAAAATCGGACTGGGTGGCCGATACATCCAGGGTTCGATATTTTGACAAGGTGAGGGTTCGATTTTCGGCTCTGTAGGGTTTGAGCTTTGCTGAGATAAGTGAATTCTTCAACTTAACCAAACAGACATTTCCTTACAGAAAAGACATTAGAGGTTGAATACCTCTTTCATTTTCCATTTTAACGGATGATATCTGTTGACGGTTTTTGTTTGTCTATTTGAGACGAATCTAAATCTGTAGGGTGATGTGTGTTCGGTCGAGTTTGAAAATTGACTTCAGGCGCTGCCCTGCGGAAGTCCGCAGAGCCGAAAGCCGGCGAAGCGGTCGATAATCGAACCCTACGTCCGAAAATTGAACCCCCGTGGGTTCGATTCTTCTTACGACCGATTTTCGAGCCGGGCGAGAATTGGGACCGCCTTTCCCCGGTTTGAAAATCGGACCCCCTTCTAACAGTATAGGCATGACAAATTTCGTAACGCATGCCTCGAAAATACAATTGATGTCCAGTACACAGCGTCATTTCATCGGCAGGGAAAATGCAGGCTCGCCCTTGAATGTCCACAGTTTGCCTCCGTTCCGCGGTGTCCCTTGGTGCTCCGTACCCATTTTCGATGGGTGTAATGGCGGAGATGTAGGGCCACCGAGTCCGGGCCACCACGCGCAAATCGCAGCCATGCAAGTTGGCCACCTTGTTTTTCAACTGCAGTGACTCCTTGGAAAGGTTGACGGATGCGCTCCATCTACACAGAAGGTTAAGTTCAGAGATGTGAATTTGATCTAGGAAGCGGAAGACGGAAATGATTCTACTTATCTCCGAATTGAGTTAGGATACTAGAATTGTGCCTTAGAATGGTTTACAACATTGCACCAAACTGTTTGACTCAATTCTTAGCCAAAAGAAAAAAAATCGACTTCGTTAAAACATAGTAACTGATCCCTTTTACGCTCAAATTAGCGGAAAGTGAAAACAACTCAACCAAAGTGAACGACTCCGTTGGAAATATTGACGATAGGAGATTACTCAACTTGTGTTTTCATGAATCTATTGCAAAAAGAATCACGTCAATTTGGCCGGCGCCCATCATTTTAAGGACACTTCTAGCGAGGCCTGAAGTGAAGATCAAGAAGAAGAACTAAGTCCGGTAACAGTTCAAGGAATCGGCCTTTTTCGGGGGTTTTGGCAGGTTTAAATCAAATTGTATATCAAAATTAAGCTGCCTTGAATTTTTGGATTGAGAATAAACATTCGTCATCAAGAGATTAGCGTTATTTCTCAACTGTTTCCGGCTTATGTTCTTCTTCTTGTTCTTCACTCCAGGCCCTGCTAGAAGTGTCTATTTAAATGGAAAAAAGAGTTAAGTCCAAAAAATGCACCAGAGCAATCAACACCTTATGCTGACTATCGTTCCTCTTGTATTGTCTCCACATTCGCCTTCGTTTGGGATTGATTTACACGTGGGCTCGTATGGCACATTTGTCACAATTGCAAACGACTCTCCCAGTGCCAAATATCATGAAGTCTTTGATGTCAGCGCCCTCAAGGGAGCCTACCGCAAGAGTAGCCGAGGCCTCGTGTCCCGGCAACGGCCCCGTCCGAACGGCGAGTAGGAAAAGACGTCTAGCTGATGTTCGTCTCGGTCAAGCGTCACTCCAAGGGCGCGAACGATGCCCTCATCCCAACAATCCTGGAATCTGGTATGAAGATTGGCCGTCTAAAAATATCAACAGTGAGAAAATTTCCATGGAAATAAGTTGCCGTCCTCTGTTATTATATAAAAGAATTTATTTTAAGCGAACAACTAAATAGCACAACTCCTCCCCCACCTCTGAAATAAAAAGCACCACAGCTTCTGGACGAAGATTTGAAGGCAGAGTGCTGCATCTCGTGTCGTCCAGAATTGTGACCAAGCTTCCGGCCATACAAGGAAACCCCTGGAAAACTTTGTCACTATTGACCGCCTCTTAATTGTCCATAGAACAGAATACACACCGACGTCCCACACCTTCCTAGCTGCTCACTTCTATACCATAACAATAGCCGTGTTACCTGCGGTTTTCGAGGCGCCACCGGCCCGTCACTACATCTCCGCTGGCTGCAGTTCCCGCGGATGCTGTATGTCACTGGCAGTGTGCTGAGAAGCCCGCGACCTGGACAGCGCTGGCCTAGTCAAACACATCGAGAGCATTTCAGTCGGATTCTCATTGGCTTATCCAAGGAGCACATAGCTTCACTGGAAGCCAACGAATGTGACGTCATATTCGTTCGGATGTGAATTTTTGATGTCACATTCGTTTAAACGTGACTCGGCCGTTCAAGTAGGGTGTCTCATCCGTTTGAACGTGGATCAACAGTCAACCGAATGTGACATCATATTCAAACGAAAGTGACAAAATTCACACTCCAACGAATATGACGTCACACACTCGTTGGCTACCAGTGTTCAAAGTGAAAAGTCAGCAAAGCATCGCTTCGTAACAGGGTATTCTGGCACCCGACCAGAACCCCAGGAAGTTGAAATAACTGGATCCGGTATGAGAAATCAGGTGCGCGGAGCCAGAAAGTTTGCGAAATCAGGTATGTGAACGGCCTCCACACATCTGACTTCTCATACCGTATCCTGATATTTCTACTATTTTTAGAGAAAGTGACCCTCAATTGATCTTTTACCTTACTCTTGCTTTAAAAACCAGATGTACTATCGACAAAATGTCAATACGCACTGTGGCGAAAAGATACGGAAAATTCTGTTAATTTTTTTGCCAGGATTCTCCGTAGCCCTCTTATCAATATTCTCCGTAGGCTCTTACAGTCTTCTCCGTAGGACCTGGAAGACTGTATAGCCCTACGGAGAATACTGTACGGCCCTACGGAAAATACTGTAAGAGCCTACGGAGAATACTGACAAGGGGGCTACGGAGAATAACCACAAGCTGTTTACCGAATTTTCCGTAGCTTTTTGCCACAGTGCCATGTACTCTAAGTTAAGGGGAGGTTCTGGTGAAAATGCTATTTTCTCCTAAATAGGTCCCACTGTGAAAATTTGTTAAAAATTTGGTGTCTTACCAAGTAATTATTAAAATTTTTCAATGGGGAGGCACATTTTGTGCGCTGAACCCAGTCGCAGAGCCTTTTTCTCCTATTTAGGCTATAACTTTTAAAATCTTCTTGCGCATACTATTTTGTCGTAAAAGGTTGGCCTTGACATTTTTCACTTCTTCGATTTACTTTTAAAAGATGCCGGTATGCAGAACTCAAACCGTAAATTACATTTTAATTCGCAAGCTTTCTAACCAAGCATTTCACTATAATTGACCAAAAATGTACAAAATAGACAAATTTTAGGGACTTTTCAGCTTAAAAAGCTTACAATTAATAATGTAATGGAAATTTTGAGCTATGCATGCCGGAATCTTTTGAAAATGAATCGAAGAAGTGAAAAATGTCAAGGTCAACCTTTTACGACAAAATGGTATGCGCAAGAAGATTTTTTAATTAAGATACAGCCAAAATAGGCTCAAAAGGACTCTTCAACTGGGTTTAGAGCCTGGCATGTGCCTTCAAAAGTCAAATTTTAGTCTCCTCAAAGAAAGATTTCAAATTCCGAACAAATTGTGACAGTGGGATCCATTTGGAAAATAGCAAGATTTTCACCAGAACCTCCCCTTAAGAAGTCTGAGAGAGTTTGTTCTTCCCGGTTGTTACCACATATGAAGAGCGTCGTCCGGGTGTCCGTGGCTCGTGCCACGGCGAGTACAAGGGTCTCCCACGGTGCAAGGCCCTCTTCCCAACTCGAAAATACGGATGCTGTTAGTTGCAGGCTGTAACTGGTTATCTCGCATATTAATTTGTGCGGTTTTTTGTGAGCAATCGTTTAACTATTACTGGTGAAATGGCATGCCTTATTATTCTGGGAGGCTGAACGAGTTTTCTCTAAAAGCTTCGTGACAAACTCGTAACTAGCGACACTACAAGAACCACTAAACAATACAGTATGCTATGTCCGTAACTCCGTGAAGTGAAGGTTTTGGGGGGAACAAATCACTAATCGGAGTCTGCGATGGTACTGAGGATTCCAGAGCTGCACCGGAGTTTGTGTGTGAGGGGAGGGGGTGGACCGAGAGTATGGAAAATTCAACACGGAGTTTAGCAGACGTCATTTACAAGGCTGAATTCGCTCCAGTCCCTTCAATTTCTTCGTGGTTATGAAGCAAATGCTTCGTAGGCTTATTTGAGTGCAAGTCCACTCAAATCAAAGAGTAATTGGCGAGCATACTCCTAAAGATGAGCAAAGCACACAGTGGATTTTGAAGTGCAGTGACAAATTTCAAATTTTGTCATTGGCTTGTGACATTTTTGCCACCGACTTTGGTACTGTCTGAAACAGTTCCAGTTGGTAACAAAAGTAGTCCACGGGTTTGTACTGTGCTCTCAAGTAACTGGCTTCACTATTGCTCATCCTTAACAATAAGCAATTTATAAGTTTCTCTTATTTCCAACCTAACTGCTTACACTCTTGCAGGACGAACAATGAATACGACGACGGCCACGCCGCAGCAGAATTTAATCAGCCGGCTCGTTTCGGCCATGGCGATTGGTGTAGCAGGAAAATTTAAGTAGGCTGTCGACAGAAATGTTGTTCTTCATCAAATTGATGTGCGGTGCATTTTTCTAATCCATGCCTTCTAAATATCAAATTCTCAGCTAGTTATTTTGGGTAAGAACTAACACACACGCATACACACACACACTAATACTGTTTGGTTCATGTGTGCACTTGGCACAAAATTGTGCGTAAGTTTCATAAAGCATTAATTTGTAAGGGAAGGTGGGGCACCATGTGACAGTTTTCGTTTAATACCTGTAAACGAAATACTACCAATGACAAATCCTTTATGTGACCAAAATGATCCCTCTTCTTTAAATTCTGGCTGATATTTCGAATTTACCTCTATATTGGTTGCTGGGTAATCCCGACATATATGGACCATCGCCGAAGAGTCACATCATACCCCAGGCAGTACACCATGTGACAGCCTCAGTGCACTAAGTGACAGTAGCCTTGTTTCACTGTTTATGCCCTGTTCATCGTACCTGTACGCCATGAATGGATAGATAATATTTTTGGTGAGTTTCTTCTTTGGTTACAGAGCAATGCAGGTGTCAGCAACGTGTTAGCAAATCTCATAAATTTTACATTTACCCCGGTTAAAAGTGGAATGCCACAATGGATGACGGCTGCATCTTAAACATGTACCACAGTAGAGAGATTTCTAAAATCGACGCGTCCTAATGGAATTATCCTAATTGTCAGAGCAGATCCAAGATTCCTTACCTTCAGTGCAGATTTAGAACTATCCTAACTGCAGAGGTACCTAAAAGTGTTCATGAAGGATCTTTACTACAAATCAGAGAATCTCGATATATCTGAAATACAATGTCCACGTATTTATATAAGGATGAAACTTTGTAACGAGCCCTTCGGCGAGTAATTTTGTGAAGTATGTTGGCGTCACGGACTTTGAGAAAACACCGCTTTTCACGTGATGTGCAATTGGTATAGTTCTAAATTGACACGAAAAGTTAGGATTGTCTTGGATCTGCTCTGACAGTTAGGATTATTCTATTAGGACGCGCCGAAATTGGTCCTCCAAATTTGTTTCTAGTGCTCGCAGGTGGATTCATGGGTTCTGAGTGTAAATAAGTCCCCACTCCAAAAGTCACATGGAGCCCAGATTAGCGGGTTTGGGGGTACTGGCAATAACGCCCACGCTTGTTGTCGAAGAGAATCAAGCCCAAGCTTATTTTACGCTATAAACATAAGAAAAGAACATCCTGCAAGACTTCGGCCGTTAAAATGTGTTTGAAAGGTAAAAAGCAGACGCGGCGTGAAATAGGGAAAAAAATCCATTAAGCTGTTTTTAGGGGGAATCAAATATCTGAGCGCTACTATTCCCGCCCCTTTCGACGGAGAGTCACGGTCTGTTGGACGTCGATGCCCCTTGAAACCTTCTTGTGAGTCCTCGTACCGCGTTGGATGCGAGCCGTTTGGGGGAAAAGCCAGTCACATGGTGCCCCACCTCTCACATAAATTTGTTTCAAGCGCGTGCGTAATTTTGTTCACACGCCATGCACAGCAAGTCTGAGGAACTAACAATTACCAAATGATAGCGAAATCCTAAAGGCTTGGTAAAAAGTCTTGAACTTTTCTTCGTTAAACCTGCTGCCCTCAACACGGGACTAGGCCAGCACTCACTGCCGACCCGAGCGGCCGTGGCGGTGGGCCGTGGCCCGCCCCAACCCCAATTACCAATTAACGGCAAAGGTAGACGGGCATGCATGTCATGACTCAGGGTACGGACAAGAGAGACACATGTCAGGGTCCTCGTTAGTCGATTGGGAAACAAAAGTAATCAAAACCTGTAGAAGTCGACCGCTCCGGCGCCTTCTCGGGATGTTCTCACGGTAGGTAGAAAAGACAAAAAGAAGGACCAATTCAACAACATGCAATAAATTTTAACGGATTCGTAGACAATTCCGCCAGAACGCCGAGTGAAGGAGGAGGTTCTATTTTTAGGGGTTCCCAAGAACCCCTATTGTCCGAGGTCCGTGGATTCTTCCCCCCCCCCCTCTCCGATTTTCAAATAAACAACTCTAAACTATTTCAACCATGAAAAAAACGAAAATTCCAATTTTTTTCGAAAATTCATCGTGGAAATTTGCCGTAAACGCGAAAAACATAAATTTGCAACAATCGAAAACGAGAACCGTTAATGATATGAAAAAATGGTTCAAATAAAAAATGTGCCACTCCTCAAAACTAAACCTCCTGGCTCATCAAAGTAACAAGAAATCGTATATGTTCTGAGCAAATGGTCAAAACATGAAAAAAAATCTCCATGGCAACGGCATGGTCCCATCGTACCACCCGTCAAAATTTAAAGTCGCCCATTAAAAAAAAATCTAAACGCCGTGAAATTTGAAAATGCTAATGCTAACACATTGCACGGTGTCTCAACGTTGGAACATCTTTAAAGTCTGTCACTAGTAAACAGTTCGTAGCAGAAACGACGCATAAAATTTAAATTTTTCGTGGGTTGGCCCCAAATATGCTTGCCGTCTGCGCCCTTTCGAAAATCGCGAGGCTGAAAGAACGAACAGGCGCCCATTGAAACTGCCCCTCCATTGTTGCTGAGGTTGGATTGTTTGGCATGCTCTCAAAGGCTGCGGTTGTCTTGTCATGTTTTCCTCGATTTTCAACCAGTTATGGAAACGGGAACACCGTGCAATGCGATTAGCATTGGAATTTTTAACATTAATCTAACACGAGTTCTCCGATTTCAAACCGTCAAAAAATGTGAGGAGTGTACCAAGCGTGGAATTTAAAAGTCGATCCCACACAACTTGTTCCTGAGACACCTATCCCACGAAGGTAGACAATTTCAAACAGATAACACGAGTGTACTGTAGTGCACTTGATGCATTCTTTCTCTAACCAAATCAACTTTTCGGGTCAATGTGGAGTTTTGGCCAACTAATTTATTTGATAAGAGGCCCTCACTAGGAGAGACTCCCTGTAAAATATTTTTGCAATCGGACCAATAGTTTGGGAGAAAATGACAAAAAAACCATTTTCACCCATTATAGCGCAATTTAAGGTTGAAAAATTTCAAAGTGCCAAAATGTAGCTGAATTATGGTCCCACTTCCCCAATGCTTTTCTTATATGAAAGAGCATATTTAAAAAAAAATTTGAGCCACTCTGGAGTCAGCTGACTTTACGCGGTACCCCAATCGTGTAACATAATAGGATTTTTACGCAATTTTCATATCTCCAATACTCTGACTCAGAACTGGACCGAATCAGGCCCAAAGCATCCTTATATAGCCCTAACTAATTTCCCAAGTAGTCATCAAAAATATATTTCATTTGTGGGTTCTGGAGCCAACTTTATAATTTAAAGTCTTTGTAACTCGATGAATTATCTGTTTTGGACTCAAATCCTAAATCGAAACCTAACCTAACAACATTGCACATGACAATACGAAAACAAAATTGTCGTAATCTGATCCCAGCACAGGAACAGTTCAAAGCATAAAATACTAGCCAGGGGAAGGCCTTCGGCCTCGATGCTGAGCTGCATTCTGCTGGAGATGAAAATGCATTTTCATCAGTAGTTAATTTGGATGTGTTTATTTTGAAAGATTTTGAAAAAAGATCTTATTCTCAAAGTAAGTGGTCCAACCAATCCTAACCTAACCTAACGGGCTCGTGACAGATCTTACTCTACTCGTGACAGATCTTTCCCTACTCTCGACAGATCTTATTCTTAAACTAAATGGTCCAACCAATCCTAACCTAACCTAACGGGCTCGTGACAGATCTTACTCTACTCGTGACAGATCTTTCCCTACTCTCGACAGATCATATTCTCAAAGTAAATGGTCCAACCAATCCTAACCTAACCTAACGGGCTCGTGACAGATCTTACTCTACTCGTGACAGATCTTTTCCTAATCTCGACAGATCTTATTCTCAAACTAAATGGTCCAACCAATTCTAACCTAACTTAACGGGCTCATGACAGATCTTACTCTACTCGCGACAGATCATACCTTACTCGCGACAGATCTTATTTTCAAATTAAATGGTCCAACCAAATCTAACCTAACCTAACGGGCTCATGACAGATCTTACTCTACTCGCGACAGATCATATCCTACTCGCGACAGATCCTATTCTCAAACTAATGGCCTATGAAGCTTGGCGTATGGCGCTAC